CTCCTTGACAACGCACCAGGACACTTGCTACTACTTATGGATCGTCACCCCAACGTAAAAGTGGTCTTCCTTCCTCCCAACACTACGACATTAATCCAGCCCATGGACCAGGAGTTGATATGCAATGTGAAAGCTGCATACTCTGCAAAGTTTAAGCTCCTGAACGACTGTACCAACACCAAGGATGAGTTGCATAAGCTGGGTGACACCAATAGCGAGAGCAAAAGCGACGAAGACAAGGAACAACAGGTGGTGAATCAAGAAGTTCTCGTCAAACAATTTTGGAAAAAATTTAACGTCAAACAAGCTATGGACTTCTTGGTAAAGGCATGGGATCAGCTGTCTGTAGCTACGATTCGTCACGCATGGAGGCATGTGTTGCATGGTATCCCAGGTGAGAGCCGGAGTCAACCTGTGACTGGTGAGGTTCAGTCTGTGACAGTGGCATTGGACCTTGCAAGAGAAGCTGCGCACAGTATTACAGCTGAAGGCTTCTCCGAGACCACCAACGAAGACATCCTGGAGGTGATCAGAGATCCTGAAATGACTGCCGACGAGATGTTGGAAGATGATGACGTCAGTGAAGAGGAAGATGGTGCGTCAATCTCAGAAGAACACAAGTTAACACATAGTAATATTAAGGGTGCCATCGAGTGTGCAGAGAAATTGAAGCTCTTCCTTTCCAACGACCATGACGATGACCGCTATGAAGTCTTCCATACCCGGCTGGTGCAGGCTATGGAGCCATACATCAAGGTGTATCAAGACAACATCAAAACTAGCCGTCAAAAAAGCATTACTGAGTTCTTCGCCCGCAACCCACCACAGCCAGCCAGAGCCAGTGATAGTGACAGTGAAAGTGACTTTGAGGGATTTGTCAGGGAAGCCCTGACAACTATAACTGATAGTGATGGTGATGCACCTAGTAATGGTGATTCACCTGAGGGCCAGTAATCTGCCCTCTGCCTCGGAACCAGCCTCCATCCCCGTATGCCGACCCATCTCTTCTACTAACCTAAGTGTTACACCCAACCTTTAGTTTTCCTAACCTTACCTTTATTTTTCCTAACTTAACCTTTATTTTTCCGAACCTAACCTCTTCTATATTAATTGTGTGTGCATACCATCATAAAGTTAAGATAATATTTTTACTACAACATAGTTGTGTGTCGTCAAAAAGTGGAGTTTGGGGGTCGGGCCAGTCTCTATTGGAATTAATCCCACATGTTCTGTTGTTCACTTTACACGGTACCCTGTGGGTTCAATTGACCGCATAAATCAGGGTACTACTGTATATATATATATATATATATATATATATATATATATATATATATATATATATATATATATATATATATATATATATATATATATATATATATATATATATATATATACACACACACACACACACACACACACACACACAGTTGGGTCTTCATTTACGCGGTCAATTGAACCCGCGGAGTACCGCGTAAAATGAGAAACGCGTAAATGAAATAACAGAACATATGGGATTAATTGAAATAGAGACTGGGCCGACCCCCCAAATTCCACTTTTTCCGACTCAATACTGACACAATATCTACGTTGTAGTAAAATTAACATCTTAATTTTATGATGGTATGCACACACAATTAATATTTAAGAGAAATACAGTCACCAGTTAATGTCCATTCAAATAATGGACTCAACTCTCTCCTCCCCACCCCCCCTCTTCCCATGCATGCTGGCTCCTCCCTCCCTGAGAAATGTTTGGGAAAAAACACAAGGCTTACATGCTTAGTAATAAATAATACCTCAGACTAAAGTTAGGATAATATAATTGACATTGCTGGATTCCTTGCAAGACCCCAATGCACAAACTCATTCCAACACCACTTACACACCCCAAGCAAGGGAATTAAGACAGCAAGCATAAGGAGTGAAGGCCTTATTGTATGACACATCTGTGCATGTGTGACTGCATGGCAGCGAGTTAAATATCAGCTGTTAAGGAGCGCTTGGCAATACTCATTTCCACTCCATCTCTCTATTTACCCACACCTTTCTGCTTTCTCACTTCATATTTTAAAATGTTATGTAACGTAGTGTTGAAGGGATACAACTTTGCTCATTTATACTTATATTTGTCACAATCTCTCTAAAAATACTTTAGGTTTCGTGTAAATTCAAGACATCTTCAGTTCATGAGACCCACTAATCCACCAACCAAGAAAGGGTAACCTGACATTCCATCAGGTCATTTATGAGACCACTAATCCCCAATCCTACCTCCACCTGACATTGCATCATGTCAGGTCAGTTACATGAGACCTATTAATCCACCACAGCTCAATGGGAGTGGAAAATAACAGTCTTTGCTATAACACACAGCTTCATTCATGCCCTTATCCTATAATTTTATTTTTCAAATGTTTATACAGGTTGTACCTCAGTGTAGTCCGGCATTCTGTGGTCCAGAAACTCCCGTGGTCCGGAACGATTTTAGTTTGTCCAATAGGTAGATAGGCAGCTTTTTTTACTTATCTGAATTATTATTATTATTACAGGAGTATTAAATTTTTGCCCCTCAGGCCCCAATGTGGGTCAGTGACCTATGCCCGGGTGGGCTAATCCCCTTAAAAAAAAAAAAAAGCCGCGGGAAATTAAGGTTTGTTTACATCCGGCAGTTCGGCTGCTCTCTCTCTCTCTCTGCTTGTCTATACAGAGTACAACATTTAACCCTTCAATATATATATGAGCAGTAAATAAGTGTTGCTTTCATATTCTTATGTAGAGTAATGACGATATGTTTTCACATGTGCGCACTTACATACGCGCAGTCTCACATTTTTTTTACCATTAATGGTTAGCTACTTATATTGTTCCATTTATTAACATTAAATAACATTACAGGTACTTCAAACAACCATATTATTTTTTTACATTAATTTTACTACAGCTAAAATCAGGGTCTTATTTTCTTCAGTTTTATATGTAGAACCAATCAGTCACTGGTTTCGTAAGCTTTAACATAAACAATGCCGGCAGCCGTCTCGTCTCCTCTAATATTCCACGTATTATTAATAAATTGTATTGTTAATTTTGCACACACGTACATTAATTCAATAAAAACAAATTCAGAAACATTAATTAAAATATATATGAACAGTAAATAAGTGTTGCTTTCATATTCTTATGTAAAGTAATGACGATATGTTTTCACGTGTGCGCATGCGCACTTACATACGCGATCTCTCTTTTTCTTTACCATTATCGTTAGCTACTTCTATTGTTCCATTTATTAACATTAAATAACATTACTTAAAACAACCATATTAATTTTACTACAGCTACAACCAAGGTCTTATTTTCTTCAGTTTTATATGTAGAACCAGTCAGTCACTGGCTTTGTAATCAACGAAAACAATGCTGTGTCATTTCCTCGTGTGTTTTAATATTTTACGTATTATTAATGAATTGTATTGCTCATTTTGCACACACACATGAATTCAATAAAAAAGACATTCAGTAATAAACAATAATGAATCTTTTGTACATAAGAGAAATGACGCTGTTTACACGATTATGCACGTCGTCTGCACGTTGGCGGGCCGTTCAAACCCGTCGAAATTCAAGTTTCCGCCGTCAAAATTTTTATTTATTTATTTATTTTTGTTCCAATAAAATACGTTAAGAATTAAAAACTCGCGAAATTTGAGAAGCTACTATACGACATTTAACCCTTCAATATGTCTTCAAAGAGACCATGATGCAGAGAAAGTGGTGCTAGTGCTTCCAAGCATAAGCACAAGTCACTATCTATCCAGGAAAAGGGTGAATTTCCATGGTCCGGCACCGGTCAGGTCCCGAGGTTGCCGGACTAGAGAGGTACAACCTGTATAACCAAACTTTTAGATAAACTACAGTATTCTGAATTATTATAGTAAAGAAATAAAGTTTCTAACTTAATTAGAACTGTATTTACAGATTCCAGTAGCTTAGACTCAAGGAAAACATCTACAGCACCCAGAAATGTTCTGGGGAAGTGGGCTAATATGCATCTATGCAAGAGGTCTAGTTTAGACACTCAGAAACTTTTCCCAGTAACCGGAAAAAGTTCCAGGGAGAAGGAATTTTTCCAGGATTGAGAAAGTGTCTTGTTACCCGGAAATCTCTCATCCCCAGAAGTGCTCTGCACCATCTGTTCTGGCTAAGGGGGATATCGCTATAATAATTATACTAAGAGGTCTTGTTAAAGAATGATGTGGTTCTCCCAGGTTAATCCACTGAATAGAATATAACTAAGCACAGCTGAGAATATGTAGTCATAAGAGGAAAATATGAAACAATAATGACATTAAAAGAAATATACAAGATATAGCAAAGAAAGATAAGGAATACTGAAATACCTAAATAAATAAAAACATTGAAAGAAATACCTAGAAAATAACTTAGAAAAGAATTAACATGCAAAACAGGAAATAAAAGATAATATAAAACAGAAATTATTTAGAAAGCATAACCAAATAAATTAAAGAAAGTGATGTAAGTTATACTAACAGAAAAATAAATAGAAAACAATAAATTTATAAAAGAAAAAATCTCATTTGATCCCCCCGTCCCCTTAACATCATTACTAGAGTAAATGAAATAATATTCCCACAAACAACAATTGACAAATCTGTTTATGTTTCCCACCTCGGGCATCTTTGTCCCATGCGCTGACATCTTAGTTGCGTGGGCCTAAGATTATCTTTGCTCTGTTTTGGGAATGCTTCTTAGGGAGGCTCCTTAGTCCCCGGGGGCCTGGAACACCCAAATTTTGTCTGAATCTTCCGAAACCTGGATTTACTGGGTCAGAATCTTTGAGGGTTCACTGTATAGGAAATACTCTTTCTTCTGTGATCTATAAGAAAACATTAGATGCAGTAACCCTTCTAAATTACTGTATTATCTGCATCAAATTAGTTGGTCTTGCATCTAAAGAAAAAAGTTTGACAAAAGTGTCCCACCTTATCTTTCAATTCCTTTTTCTTAACCCGGTGCAACAACAGCGGTTGACGATGATCCTTGATCTTGATGCCATATGCAGAGTAATAATAATCAACATACGTGATCTGGAATTGAAACCCAATAAAGATTCTCCATATCCTATGTTTTTTAATCATAATTTATGCACATTATTGAAAGAAATCATGGCTGGATAAAATTATTACTTTATCTAAAGACATCAGTCCAATCCATAAATATTTATGGTTTAAAACAACAATCCTTAACCATCTGTTAACTACACATGTTGAGTCACCATCAATGTCACCCACAATAATCCAAAGACAGACAAACATAAGTATGGAGGAAACTGCAGTGGGCCAACTGGCACATACTGGGTAGTCCCGTTTACACCCAACCTTTATAGCCCATATATCCATCTAACCTATATTTGAAGCTATCCAGCATATTCCAGTTAATGATGATGTTTGGTAACTTGTTCCACTCATCCACTACACTATTTTCAAACCAATGTTTACCGATCTCGTGCATAAATCTAAATTTGTCCAATTTAAAACCATTGCAAGAGTTTGCTCCTGGTTGGATAGTCTGAGTACCTTTGTTTAGCCCCGACTTCCATTTATATATCTCGATCATATCGCCCCTCACTCTACGTTTCTTGAAAGAGTGCAAATTAAGATGCTTTAACCTGTCTCTGTACTTAATGACCGGGTTTAGTCTTGTCATTTCCCTCTGAATTCTTTCGAGGGATTCTATATCCATTCTGTAGTACGGTGACCAGAACTGAACTGTGTAATACAAGTGAGGTCTCACAAGTGCAAGATATATTTTTAGGATGACCTGGCTAGTATTGTAACTAACACTTTTTTGTATGAACCCAAGTACTTTGTCAGCCTTGTTTCGAACAAATCCACATTGTTGTCTTGGTTTAAGATTCCTACTTCTCATTACTCCTAAGTCCTTCTCACAGTCGGATTTCTCTAAAACAATGTTGTTCATCTGATATCCGGTTTCTCTGTTTACGTCTCCTAGACTAAGTACTTTACATTGTCCACATAAAATTTTGTCTGCCATTTTTCAGACCATGCCAAAAAAAATTTTCATTTCTTCTTGTAGTTTTGCGGAGTCCTCGTTAGATTTAATCACACGCCCTATTTTAGCGAGTCAGCAAATTTACTTATGTTGCCGTTTACACCCATATCTACTGTAAACCCTCGATAACTCGGCACATATGGGGCTCTGGCCTTGCCGAGTTATCCCAAATTCCGACTTATTGAGGCACTTCCCTTCCTACAAAAATACAACAATAAAAATTATTGACCCATATGTGTACTGTACATGTAATTACTAAATGTAAAAACATAACACTTACCAGCACTGCAGGTGAAGAATGAAGCATCATAGTAGGTGACACAGATGCATGGTAGGTGACACAGATGCATGGTAGGTGACACAGAGGCAGGGTAGGTGACGCATGTGGACAGATATGCCAAGATTTTCCCAGATAATTTTATATATCTCGGCATTTCCCGAGTTATACTATACTAATACATTCTGATACCATATCCATGCCGAGTTATATGGAATTCTGAGTTTTCGAAGGTTTACTGTATGTCATTTATGTATATAATAAACAGTAATGGTCCAAGTACTAAGCCTTGGGGTACTCCACTAGTGAAGTTACTCCACTCGGATTTAGTGCCGTTAATGCTTATTCGCTGTTTTCTGTCCTGTAACCACGCCCTAATCCATTTCAGAATATCTCCTCCAATTACATGAGCCTCCACTTTTCGTATTGATTTTTCGTGGGGAGCTCTGTCGCAGGCTTTGCTAAAGCCGAGGTAAACCACATCATAATCATGTCTGTCATCCACTGACTCGAAAACAGTTGAAAAGAATGTTAGAAGGTTTGTCAGACATGAATGCCCACTTGTGAAGCCATGTTGGGAATCACTGATCAATCTGTGCTTCTTCAGGTGAGTTCAAATAGTTTGAAATTATTGCTTCCAACAGTGCCTACAACTGATGTTAAATTGATTGGACGATAGTTAGAGGATAGTGAAATTTCTCCCTTCTTGAAAATCGGTATCACATTTGCTATCCTCCAGGATTCTGGTACTACTGCACACCCTTTTTCAATGACATCTTAAACAAATTGTTAAGGGCATACTAAGCTCTTCCTTACATTCCTTTAATACTCTGGCAAATATCTAATCAGGACCTGGTGACCTATTAGGCCTTAATTTGTCTATTTGCTTACTAAAATCGTTACTAGTCACTATTATCTCGCTTCATCTATTTTCATCACTATCTCTGTATATACTGTAGTCGGTGCCTCGGGTATAATGTTTAAATTTTCAGTGGTGAAAACTGTTGAAAAATATCTGCTCAGATTATTGCTCATTTCCCCGTCGTTATCAGTTAGCTCGCCAGTATCTGACTGTGTTGGTCCAATCTTTCTTGTGTTTCAGTTTGATACATTTGGAAGAATCCCTTGGGGTTTGACTTTGCCTCCCTTGCTACCTTCAGTTCATTAATCTTCTTTGCTTTTCTTATCTCGGTCTTAACTCTACTGGCCAATACTTTATAATAATCTCGGAGGTAAGCTTCACCGTGATTTATTCTCCTACCTATAGCCTTCCTTTGTCCAATAATATTCTTTAAAAAATCATTTATCTATTTGGGGTCATTGTTATTTGACCTGAGTTTTCTGTATGGTATATTCTGCCGTTGTGCATTAAGTAACTCACTATTTAAATTGCTGTGGAACTCGTCAACCTCAGATCTCGTGATCAGGTCATCCTCAACCTTCATATTTTGTGAGGTTATCATTGTCAGGTCACCAGGTAAAGTGTGGTCGCCCTCTGTGGGTACAATGTGTGAAGTGCGGTTGTGTGCGATTCATATACAGTACATGTATCCTAAACCATGATCACCTTGAATTTATTCATTAGTGAATATTAAATGAATGAAAACATGTGAGTCAAAGTATGTACTGTATGTGAGATACTAGTGGGCGAATATTTTAAAAGCATGACTGATTAGAGAATATTTTATAATTTAAGTCCAACTGTATATAGTAACCAAGTAAATGAACTAGAGGAAAGCCATCAGAGGAATTGTTTATCCTTCTCACTTGTGATAAATACCAAGATCTACAGGCATTTATAAAAGTTCTGTGTACAGTATGAAGCTTCACTGCAAAGTAATATATATGAATGATATCAAAGTTATTGTGTGAACAAAGAACTGTTGAAGATATGACCTCAGTGAGAACAGTTACTGTACTGAATGTTAGACCTCACTATGGATAGCTGTTGACCATATGATCACTGAGCATTATTGTGAGAACTCTGTTTTAAGTTACTTGGAAAATTGTGAACACCTATGAAACACCTAGTACTATCATGAACACCTATGAGACACATGACTTTGTTGTTGAAACCTGTAAGACACTCAGGGTTAATATGGAAACCTAAGGATACCTGATGTCATTATATGCATATATGAAGTCACTTGTGAAATACTCAGGAACATTGCAAGCAGGATTGAGACACCTAGTAATCTAATAGGTACCTGTGGGGAACCTATTGTCATCAGAGTATATATGAAATGTACAAAATCATTACTAGAATCTGTTAGCCATTAGGGTGTCATAATAAAATCTGTCAGGCACTTGGTGTCATCATGAAAACTGTCAGGTAGGAGGACCTGTGCCATGTCTGAGTCATTATAAACAATGGTGATACAACTGGGGTCAATGTTAGCATTTCCGGAAGTGGATGACATGTAACAAGTGACCTTAATGTGCATGATGATGTTAAATGTAAACACTTGTCACCAATAAGAATGTCAATAAGAGACATGGCATAATTATCATTATGAGCAGCAATAATATCACTTGGGTGAACAAAATGAGTATATATGAGTTTGAGAAATCAAGGGAGATCCTGATACCTCAAAAACAAATGGATCATAAGAAGCTTGCAAGCCTCATAAATATAGCTCAGAAAGATGATATGCTATGTAAACCTCCAATTATAATACTGTACTAAAGACATCCTCTATGACCTTGACCTGATGACTACTAAAATCAGTAAGCTTCTTTCTCAACCTGTAACAGGTTGTGTAATGCAATTAACTTTTTTGAAGTACTCAAGGTAAAAGTTTTTGGCAACAAGCAGAGGGATGGTGGAACAGACAGACAACTACATTTCCCCAAAATATGCATTGATGGAGGGATAGAAATAATAAGTTGAAGAAATGTAATACAGTGAACCCTCACTTTATGCGGTTAATTGAACCCACGGCGGCCCGCGTAAAGTGAGAAACAACATAACATATGGGATTAATTGAAATAGAGACTGGGCCGACCCCCAAACTACCCTTTTTCCCGACACAATACGTACGTTTTACTAAAAATAACATCTTAACTTTATGATGGTATTCACCCACACATAATATAGAAGGGAACAATCAATAAGAGAATAATAAACTGAAGGTTAGGTTAGAAAAAAACAAGGTTGGGGTTAACACTTACGTTAGTAGAAGAGATGGGTCGGCGTAGGGGAATGGAGGCTGGTTCCGAGGCAGAGGGCAGGCTACTGGCCCTCAGGTGAGTCACCATCACTGTCATCCACACTTGTCAGGGCCTCCCTGACAAATCCCTCAAAGTCATCATCACTGTCTCTGCCTCTGTCACTATCACTGGCTTCGGCTGGCTGTGGTGGGTTGCGGGCGAAGAACTCTGTTATGCTTTGCTGACGGCTGGTGTTTATGTTGTCGTGATAAACCTTGATGTAGGGCTCCATAGTCTGCAACAGCTGGGTAGTGAAGATTTCATACCTGTTTGCGTCAGGGTCGTCGGAAAGGAGGAGCTTGACTTTATCAATACACTCGATGGCACCCCTTACATTACTATGGGATAAGCGGCGGCGTTCTTGGGATGACGCACCACCTGCCTCTTCACTGACATCATCATCATCTACCATCTCGTCGGTAGTCACATCAGGATCCCTTATCACCTCCAGGATGTCGTCATTGGTGGTCTCGGAGAAGCCTGCAGCTGTAACACTCTGCGCAGCTTCTCTGGCAAGGTCCACTGCTACTGCAACAGTCTGAACCTCACCAGTCACAGATTTACTCTGCCTAACACCCGGAATGCCTTGCAACACACGTCTCCACACGTGACGAACAGTTGCTACAGACAGCTGATCCCATGCCTCCACCAAGAAGTCCACAGCTTTCTTGACGTTGAATGTTCTCCAGAATTGTTTCAAAAGTACTTCTTGCTCTGCCAACTGTTGATCCTCGTCGTCTTCGCTCTTGCTATCGGTGTTGGTGTCACTCAGGTTATGCAACTCTTCCTTGGTGTTGGTGTAGTTGTTCAGGAGGTTGAATTTTTTAGCAGAGAATGCAGCTTTTACATTACGGACCAATCCTTGGTCCATGGGCTGTATTATAGACGTAGTGTTGGGAGGAAGGAAGACCACTTTTACGTTGGGGTGATGATCTAACAGTAGGGGCGAGTGTCCTGGTGCATTGTCAAGCAGCAACAAAATCTTGAATGGCACATTCTGTTGCTCACAGAATTTCTTCACATCGGGAACGAAACAGTCATCAAACCAGGAGAGGGACAGTGTAGAGAACATCCACGCCTTACGTGCGGTCAGCCAGTGGACATTTAGCTTGGTCATGTCCATGCTCTTGTAGGCGTGCGGCTTGCGTGCTGTGTGGATCACCGATAACTTGAGCTTACAGGTACCGGAGGCATTGGTGGTAAACAGGACGGTGATGCGCTCCTTCTGCAACTTCCGGCCCCGACACTTGCTGGCATTCTTCACAACGAAGGTCTTGGAAGGTAGCTTTTTCCAAAAAAGACCAGATTCGTCCATGTTAAACACCTGGTCGTCGGTGTACTGTCCTTCCTCCATAATCTCACGTAAAAACGGAGGAAATTCCCTAGCCGCAACACGGTCAGCACTAGCTTCTTCACCACCAATGTTGATATTGGTGATCTTGTTCCTGTTCTTAAACCTCTGTAACTACCCAGAGGAAGCATTAAAGGGTTTGGGCTCTGTAATTCCCATCTTTCGTGACACTGCAGCATACAGTTCACGTGCGTACTCCTTAACTGAGTGCGTGTCCACCGCCATGTTCCGTCGCGCCTGACGCACCAAGTAGCTCACAAGTAATTTTTCCGTCTTGAGAAGCACCTGGTTGTGGAAATACTTGATCATAGAAGTACCTGTAGACTTTGTGATGTTCATGTGCTCCTTGATCTTGGCTGCATCCTTCTTAATTGTACTGATAGTTGATTCGTTAACACCATGCTGGCGCGCGAGATCAACCTGTCTTGTTCCTTTCTCCAACTCTTGTATGATCTTATATTTGATTTCGTAGCTTAAGGAACGTCATGTCTTCTTTGGCTTAGGGCGGCTGGGTCCAGATAATGCAAGGTTTCTTTGTGGTGGTGGTGGTGGTGGTCCGGTGGAAGCCATTCTTATGGAACAATGGATACCGATATACACGGTGTAGCCTGGAGGGGTGTAACTGACGCGGTAGGTCAAGGGGCTTGAACGCTCCCGCGGTGGGGCACATCACAGTACTACATTAAACCAATCACAGCTAGCAGGGAGGGAGGTAAGGATGCTTTGCCCAATCACAGTCCGTTCCGTCATATGACGTCACCGATAACGCAACAAAGATATACACTGCGCAACCTACTCGCGCCACTTACACAACATGGCGGATGGCGGGAGAGGGCGGGAGAAATGGCGGGAGGTTTGGATCCAAAAATGGCGCGGCGTGAGAGGACCGCCAGCCGCTCTTCGCGTAAAGGGGTACACGCACCGCGGAAAGTGAGCATTCCATGTTCGGCAGGGTACCGCGTAAACATGGAAACGCGTAAAGTGGGACCGCGTAAAGCGAGGGTTGACTGTATATCGAAACTGACATTACAAACTCACAATTCTCCTACAATAAAATATAAGTATCATACTGTTATGTGCTTTTACCTTATCATGTGGAAAAATTCTTTACATACCTCTTCTCCTTCAGAGTTTGTAAATGTGGAGGTGGGATTCTGGTCAAAGAGAATATCATCTATGCGGTAAATCTTATTGTTGTAACGCGTGAGTACAATGCAGCCAATAAACTGCTTAACAATCAATATCTTGGAGTTGGCCTTCTGTATTTGACACAATTCAGACCTTCAGATGAGAAAGAAAAGTAAGAAAATTTCCTGTAAACCTACAGTAAACAGCTACTTCACAACTACAATGAAAAAATGTTAGTACTGACAACTTTTTAAAGTACAGTACAGGAGTTCCCTGGAAAATGTCGATATGCTACATATCTTTTTGCACTGACAACACTGACTATTTGAGGAATGCAAAGCAAAAATTCCAGGTACTAACATTGTTACCTCGTTTTTAAATGGGTTGACGTCATAATATATAAACAATGTCGGAGCTTGAATCTTAGTTTCATTGAGTTCTATCACACTGTGAGTAGTGGTTGAGCTTCATATGCAGCTTTAACTACAGTAAATCTGGAGTAATCCTTGCAATCATTCAATAATGAATGACAGGTATAGTGCAAGTGCAGTTGGTATGGGGAAGAAAAAGTGTAAGAGTATTACACTGGATATTAACTTGGACATGATGAAGCCTAGCAAACAATGTGAACTCATCCATTCCTCACGGTAAAATGAACAATTTACAGGTTAGAAGTTATAGGTATAGGTTAAATCTTTTAAAATTATGTTTATAATTATTTGCGTTTTTACACTAAAAATGCTTTTCTGTTTGGGTTATTGTTTAATAATATCACAAATACATTTTCTATTCTATATGCAGAATACAACTTAAAATCTGGTCCCTATTCCTATCTTTAAGTTGCACCACATTGGTCCCAAACCTAACGTATTTTGGGGACCCCCTGTATAAACATACAGTACTTGTACATCCAATCATCCAATTATTCACTTACATCATTCTAATTAAGGTCTTCCAAAAAAAAAAGTTAAATAAAAAATTATTCACAAGGTTATATGATTAAGAGTGAAATTAATTAGGATACATACAGTACAGTACAGTACTTGCAAATGATGAGAAAACAAAAATTTAAGCCGTCTATATTCTGAACATTGATCCCAGGTAGGAAAAAGCCTTAACTGTGTGGTACAATATAAAAAAAAGTTTTCTCATCTTAATTGGACATATCTATTTATCTTAATATATACAATACTGTAGTTAATAAAATGCCTCTCATGGATCACTTAACCTCCATGTATCAACAAACTCCTTCAAAATAACACTCTTCTCACTTATTATACTATACAGTACAGTACAGTAAATTACAGTACAGTACTGTACTGCACTTCTCTATTCTATCATTCTAACTCCCTCCCTGCCACACTCTTCAGTTCCCATTCTTAAATAAAATAATACAGTACAGGCATCCCCCAGGCTACGGAAGGGATGCATCCTTGAAACTGTCTCGGTATTGTAGAATTACATAACGTGGGACCAATTTATCCATTGCTCCCATTATATAATTCAAGATGCATTCCCAATAAATATTTTTGGCAAGAATACATTAAACAAGCCTACATATGAATGCAAATAAACATTTTTAAACACATACAGTACATTGATTACTTCATGATGTAACATGATAATAAATCCACACAACACTTGAATTTAACTCACCACAAATGATGTTAAGTGATGCGTGAGTTGGTGAGGTAAGGAGGTGCAATCGGAGTTACTGGGAGTTACCTCCTTAAAACATCAAGTTTTTATGTCCAACATAATTCCTTTATGGGATCTTTTAGCACCACTGCTTTCTTTTACTTTTTTTACTTTAATCCTCTTCACCACTGATCGGCTCGTTAGCCGCTTGGGCGATTGGTCACGTCTCTTACGCGCTGTCGGCAAGTACTGGCTCCTGAATGTATCTGAACCTGCTCCAGTGATTGTCAAGTCTGGCCTTGAAAGAGCTCACAGTCGGTGCCATCACAACACTCTCTGGCAGATTGTTCCAAGAGTTCACAACCCTCACTCCGAAAAAGTTACCCCTCACAGTCTTCTGGGCTTGCGGTTTCTTAAACCTTGAGCTGTGACCCCTTGTGGGGTGAGCGTTCGCCAGCTCCAGGTAAGGGCACTCGACTGAGTAGTTCCCATTGGGATGTTTATACACCTCAATTAGATCCCCCCTTGCACGTCTGTAGTATACGTTAGGGTAGCTCAGGTGCCGAAATGCTGGCACCAGCCTGGTATCCATTCTTTAGACATTTTCAATCAACTGAAGTCCCTAGCATCCCAGTATCTTGGGGACCAGAACTCCAGACAGGGAAACACCTCACTCTTGAAGATCGTCACAAGGGATGGACCGTCTAGATATCTGAACGACCTTCTTATAAGACCTAATAATTTAGTTGCCTCATTCACCTTCTTCTCGCAATGGCCCGAGAACTTCAGTTCGTCAACAAACACACTTAGGTCCTTTTCACATTCAGACCCAATCAATGCAGTTACCTCATCCCACTGGGACATATAATACACCTCATTACCGTTGGTACGTCCTAGGTGCAACCTCTTAACCCTTAGGCCCCGGGTGACGTTGCAGAACGTCCGCCTATTTCCCCGCCCCCTTTTTTTTATTATTTTTGGAAAAGTTGAATTTTTTTCTTGATTTAACCCCACGGGGGGCAGGGGAGGGAAGATTACTGCCAGCAGCACCCTAACCCGGGGCTTAAGGGTTAATCTTCATGATTTTGAATCTTAGCAGCCATTTATTCGACCATTCTTGAAGCTCACAGACATCCTTCTGCAGCTCTTCACATTCTGCTTGGTTCTTAATTTCCCAAAATAGCTTGGCTTCGTCTGCAAACATTTGTATGGAGGACTGTACAGCATCAGGCATGTCATTTATGAAGCAAACAAACAACAGCGGGCCTAATACACTGCCCTGTGGTACCCCGCTTGTGAAGGGTACACATGATGACTTCGTGCCATTAATCACCACACACTGCTTGCGGTCATTGGTGAAAGTCTCCGATCCACGCTAGGACATTTCCCCATATCCCGTACCTTTCCAGTTTAATTTTTAGCCTTTCATGGGGTACACTGTCGAAAGCCTTGGCAAACTCTAGGTATATAGTGTCGATATTAACACCCTGTTCCAGAATTTAGGTCCAAACATCCAGTACAGGTTGACAATCCCTTATCCGAAATCCTTGGGGTCAGAAGCATTTCGGATTTTGGAATTTTTCGGTTTTCAGAATGGTTTTTTTTTTTTTTTTTTTTAGCCCACCCGGGCACAAGTCACTGACCCACATTGGGACCTGGGGGGCGAAAATATAATAACAATTATTATAATAACAATTATTATAATAACAATTATTATAATAACAATTATAATAATAATAATAATAATAATAATAATAATAATAACAATAACAATAATAATAATAATAATAATAATAATAATAATAATAATAATAATAATAATAATAATAATTCAAAGGTCTAGGCCGTGTTTTTCACTTTTTATCTTTTTTCATTCTTGTATTTAATTATTATTATCATTATTATTACAAATTTTATTATTACAGGTTGACAATCCCTTATCCGAAATCCTTGGGACCAGATGCATTTCGGTTTTTGGAATTTTTCGGTTTTCAGAATGATTTTTTTTTACAGGGATCAGCCCATCCGGGCACAGGTCACTTACCCACATTGGGGCCTGGGGGCTAAAATATAATAATAATACTAATAATAATAATAATTCATAGGTCTAGGTCGTGTTTCTCACTTTTGATCTTTTTTCATTCTTGTATTTCTTTATTATTATTATTATTGTTATCATTCTTATTTTATTTTTGTGTATTTTTTATTAAAAATTTTATTTACTATGAATAATTATTATTATTACTGTATTATTATTATTACTAATACATTTTCGCCCCCCAGGCCCCGATGTGGGTCAGTGACCTGTGCCCGGGTGGGCTAAAAAAATAAAAATAAAAAAAATGCTTCAAAAAAAATTTCAGTTTTCAGAGCTTTTCGGTTTTTGGAATTTCGGATAAAGGGTTGTCAACCTGTATTATTATTATTGTTGTTATCATTATTATTTTATTTTGGTGTAATTTTTAATTAAAATTTTTTATTTACTATGAATAATTATTATTATTATAATTAGTATTACTATTACATTTTCGCCCCCCAGGCCCTGATGTGGATCAGTGACCTGTGCCCGGGTGGGCTAAAAAAAAAAAAAAAAATAATGTTCCACAAAAAAAGCTTTCGGTTTTCAGAGCTTTTCGGTTTTCGAAATTTCGGATAAAGGGTTGTCAACCTGTACCTTGAGTAATTGTGTTAAGCAGGAGCACCCCGGCAAAAAACCATTTAGGCAATCCTTTACAAGATTATTTCGTAATAGATGTTCCATTAAGGCATCTCTTATAATGCTCTCAAATACTTTACATACTATGCTGGTCAGGCTCACCAGTCTATAATTATTCATGGATTGACAATTGCCCTTTTTGAAGATAGGACTCACATAAGCCATTTTCCAATCACTGGGGACCTTTTGCTCATCCAGGCATATACAGGACAGGATCTTCAGGAGCTCAGCAAGCTCATTGCACAACTCTCTTAGCACTCTGGGATGCACCATATCAGGGCCAGGACCCCTATGAATCTTTAGCTTTGACAGTTTATTTCTTATTACCTCTTCTGTGAACACAATGTGGGTCAGTACTGTGCTGAACAGTCTGTCCTCAAACACAGGATGATTAATCTGCGTAACTACCATCTTCAAGCCGCAGGTCCGATACTCCTACTCGTGTTTTTAATTTTGACTTTGTACAGTGGAAAAATGCCTTTGGGTTTGACTTGACCTCGCTTGCAACCAGCCTCTGGAACTCCTTTTCAGCCCTTCTACTCTCTGACTGTGCTTGGTTCCTGACTCTTGCATACATCCTCCTGTCCTGACTCCTCATTTGATCTAACCCACGCCTTGAATTTTTGGGTTTTCTTTTTAACTTTGTGGACTGCCGAATGGTTCATGTGTAGGGGTGTCCTTGTATTCCTAGAGCCACTGGGTTTGGTCTTGGGTATATATTTTTCAATCAAATGGTTCACTTTACTAGCTATGATATTCAGCATAGTGTCTGTGTTCTTATGCCGTAGCGAGTCAGGCCAGTGGATACCCCTCATCTCCTACCTCATTCTGTTGTAATTTCCCTTGTAATATTTCCACCTTGGCCTGGTTTTGTCGTGAACTAAGTAACAGTTAAATCTGAATGACAACACTGCATGGTGGCTGGTGCCAACTGGGGGCTAGATGTTCCAGTTTAGCCACCATACCCTCCTCGTTTGTTATGATGAGGCCAAGTGGCTTGGGTGTTTGCTCCCCTCTGTAGTGTGTCGGGTCTTTTAACATGTTGGAATAGAAAACTATCTCTCGGAGTTTCTACTAAAAGAATAGCGGGGTAATTTAAGTCATTTGGGGTGAATTCATTTCTATAGTCAACGTCGCCATAGTTAAAGTCCCCCATGATTAGGAGGTGGGTAGGGTTGAGCATTGCTGTGTTGTCTATTAAGGCTCTTAAGTTCCTTTGGTTTGGTAAGCTATAGTTTGGGGATCTGTAGATAAACCTGACAAAAAGTGAGTCTTCTCCCTTTAATTTAATTTTACACCACTTGGATTTTTCAAAAAACATCCTCTCCCTGTACCCTCACCTGGCTGGCTTTAACATCTTGCCTAGTATAGATATATAACACCCCTCTTGCAAGTTTCTTGAGAAAGGTTCGTAAACAAGTCATATCCGTAATTACTAAACTCTCATTCCTCTGGGTCAATTCTCCTGTTCTAGTACAACAGTTCTACAACACCTGCTATATCAATGTTGGTGAACCTTCAGTAGTGTTTCAAACTCCTCTCTCTTATCAAGGAACATGGTAGTAACTTCGGCCCCTCTCCATTCTCAGCAGCTGCTGCATTTGATAAATACACTGTATTCTGCAGGGTGTGGTTAGAAATGTCATTGCTTACACAGTGCTCGCCTCCTCCTGGATGGGAGGTAGAGTGGATGGAGGGTGTACCGCTGCCCCCTGGCTCTGTGCTGGTGCGCTTCGACTACCCTCCCCCTGGATATAACCCATGTATACCCGTCCCCGTTCTTCCCTGACTCCTCCCTCCTCTGCTTCAAGCCCTGCAGGAGTTTCTTGTGCGGTTCCCCTTGCAGTACCATGCGATCTGTGTGAATGAATACATTCCGAAATGCCTCGCTCTTTGGCTGCCGAATAACTTCCCATTTCTTCTTCTCACTCACTAGTGTGAACCTGAGGGGAAGAGGCTTGCCCTCCTGCTTTTTTCCCAGCCTCCTCACATCCTGAGAGGGGGGGGGAAAGACTAACATATTCAGCACCTCTGCAGAAATATTCTTAAATTGCATCTTATCGTATGTTTTCCTACTCTCCGCTTCCTCCAACTGGCTCTCTGGGACTTCATAAACTATTACGTTGTTCCTGCGCTGGAAACATTCCCGTTATTCCTCCTCTCCCCTAACAGTAGGCCTGCTAGTCTCCATCTCTTCGACACACTTCTTCAGGATCCCTAGCTGCTGTAGAACTTGTTTGGATCCTGCATTACTCTCCGCCACCTCCAGTGGCCCTGCTAAGGCCTGAACATTACTCCTCTTCACTACCACCTCCATTCTATCGGCTACTTCCTCATTCTTAGCAAGGATCTCTTTCCCAACTTGTTCTAGTTTGGCAACCAACAAGGATCCAGCTCCATCTATTTTCGTCCCTAGGAAACTTGTTCCCCTATGGTTTGCAATCTCCTCTTTCACATTGACTATGCAGTCAGGGCAATACCAGCAACAGCCTTCATGCTTTACCACATTCTGTAACGTCCTAAACAATTCTCTCTCTCATTTTACATCTGCAAGACATGTTTATGTCTACTCGTGGGAAGTTCACGAATCATGAGCGACGCAAGTCTCCTCGTTAATCGACAGACACATGACAACCGATGTGCAGATACTGCACGACCCAACCCCCTCCGACCGACTGTCAACAAACACAGCGCCCTGATGGCATTCGTAATGGAAGTGATAATGAAAAAATATTTTATTTGTTTTTTTTAATCTCAATTTCGTTATTCCATGTACGTAGTTCATTTTTAAAATATTTTAATATATTATTAGCAACACAAACAATAGCATTCATTAAAAATATACTGTTCATAGGAAAAACAGGTACAGTCGGCCCTTAACATTCACGGGGGTTAGGTAACAGAGATACCCGTGAATGTTAAAAATCCGTGTACTATTGCTGCCCCCCCCCCCTGAAAAATCCCTGGCCCCCCATGTCCTTATTTACCGTATATACCTGTGTGTAGTTCGAGTTTTTAAGACCAAATTATTTGGCAAAAATTGGGGGTCGACCTCTTAACGGGTAATAGTTTCGTTAGGTTGAAAAATATTTACCAGTAACTACCAGTAAACAATGGAAACGATGCACCAACACACCACCAGCTGTGAGTGTCGGTACAGTTGCCAGGGCAGATCTCTTGCGAGCCCAAAGTAGCCAAATCCATGGTATGGTAGCACAGGACGATGTAAAACAAAGTATTCATTTATTAAAGTTAATTTATAGATACTGGACATAAATTTTTGTTCATTACATTTGAAACATCAATCTTTGTTAATTAAATTTGAAACAAGAGAAAACTACAATACTGGATTTTCATTAAAATATTACATCACAAGTATATTTTACCTTAACTGTGACTGAATGAATATATTCTCGGAAATAAATATGGAAATGTAATAATTTTGCTGGAATGACGTACATATTATAGTGGGAAGTGGGATAAAATCATGAGGAAAGACTTTCGCTTTCTTTCGTTGTTCAAAATATTTTACCGTAATCGCTTTTCGAATGGTTTTCAGTTAAAAAACTGTTGTACTCGTACTGTATTACAATAATATTCTATCCTATCATTAGCCTTATAATCCCACAACTGAAAACCATTCGAAAAGCGATTACGGTAACATCTTTTGAACGAAAGAAAGCGAAAGTCATTGCTTTCGTCACTTTCCACTGTAATACGTACATCATTTCAGAAAAATATTACATTTCCATGTTCTCAGAAATAAATGGTAGTTTTGTTGAAACGTAATGTACAGTATTTAACATTAAAATGCAAAAATAGCTATAAAAACAATTAATACACCCGTAATGTACTGGCTGGCATCTCCACTCGTCCCTGCTCCCGCCAGTCACCTCCTCCCCGCTCTATCCCTCTGCCTCGTCCCCGCTCTATCCCTCCGCCTCCTCCACACTGTCACTACTGTTGTTTTACAATAATATTCTATCCTAATTGACTTGAATAAATACTACGATACCATATTTCTGAATATTTTCATTAAAATCCATCCAAATCATTTTCCTTGCCATCGTCTGCAGCACCAAACAGCTTCTCCCAGTCCTCTCCTTGAACAGGGCTAGAGGGTACGTGTTTTTCGAATCGTTTTCAATTAAAAAAATGTTACATCACACGTATATTTTACCTAAACTACGCCTGAATGAATATATTCTTGGAAATAAATAGTAATTTTGCTGAAACGTGATGTATTTCAATGTAAAATAGGATAAAATACATGACGAAAACAAAAGACTTCACCTAACCTTCCAATGTTCAAGAGATGTTACTCGTTTTTTTAATAGTTTTCGGTTAAAATACTGTTATATTACAATGATATTATCTTCATATTGTGCTTGATATACTACATTCACAGAAATGAAATATTTTTGCTGAAATGACGTAAGTATTACAGTGGAATGTGGGACAAAATCGTGACGAAAACAATGACTTTCGCTTTCTTTCGTTCAAAAGATGTTACCGTAATCGCTTTTCGAATGGTTTTCAGTTAAAAACTGTTGCATCACAAGTGAATTAGGATAAAATATTATTGTAATACAACAGTTTTTTAACTGAAAACCATTTGAAAAGCGATTACAGTAACATCTTTTGAGCGAAAGAAAGCGAGTCATTGCTTTCGTCACTTTCCACTGTAATACGTACGTCATTTCAGCAAAATATTACATTTCCATGTTCTCAGAAATAAATAGTACTTTTGCTGAAACGTGATGTATTTCAATGTAAATTACGATAAAATACATGACGAAAACAAGAGACTTTACCTAACCTTCCGATGTTCAAGAGATGTTACTCGTTTTTTTAGTAGTTTTCGGTTAAAATACTCTTATATTAGTGATATTCTATTCATACTGTGCTTGATATAATACATTCACGGAAATGTAATATTTTTGCAACTACAATGCTGATGTCAACACAAGTGTGGTTACAGCGAGACTGACTGAGTGAGGGAGAGCTATGAGTGTGTGTGTGAGGTTGCGGGAGCGGGCGGTGTCCCGTGTTCGGTGCCGCGCGCGAGTTGAATGGCGCGCGATTTGAATGTACTTCAATTACTTCAATGTACAGAATATTCCTCTGGCGGGGCAATCCGCGTATTTGCGAATCCGTGAATGCTAAACCCGCGTATGTGAAGGGCCGACTGTATTCATGAATTTCAAGGAGTAGCTAGCCAAATTTCTATCACGCTTCTTGCTGAACATAGTTTTACGTGATGGAATAGATAAACATGAATTTTAAAGAATGAAAATAAAAATAATCCAAATAAATAAAATATTGTAATATGTGGAGGCCCCCAGATTGTGGAGGCCCCTGGGCAGCTGCCCACTTTGCCCACTCCTGAATCCGGTCCTGGGTACATGCACCATCTTCCACCATATTCAAGTAACCACCAAAAATCCATTCAAAATAAACTTTAATTTCGGCAAAATTTTTTGTTCTATATAGCGAATTTTAAGGTTTAAAAAACTTAAAAATTTCCTCCAATTCCATAAAGAGAATTTTTTTGGACATATCCCAAATATACTGGTCATAATTTCCAAATTCTGTAAGAATGAATTTCAGTAACCAGAGTTTCCATAACTTGGGGGATGCCTGTATTTAAGATGCTGATTGATAAGTTAAAACACAGAGCTATAACAGCTTTGCTTTTAATATTCATTTAATAATTCTTAAACAATATGCTGAAGTAAACCCAAAATATCAAGAATAAACATAATAAAGGTTATTATATACACTCACATCATATCGTAACAGGTTTGAGTACGTAGAACTCTGTGTGATACATCAACACACAGCATGAGCCCTCCATCTTGGTAATTTACTGCTGTTACATACCCTGGCCATACCTCCAACCTTAAATATAACATAACTTTATATTACATTTATAATAAAGGTATATCTTATATACAGTAATTCTTAAGTGAGGTACAGGTACTACAGAATCCTGTGCATGATACTTACAAGATATTATGTGATTCACTGTGATTCTATTTGGTTCAGTAAGCTATCATGATATTATCCCACTGAAAACTGTCTCTTTTTCCATCTACTGTTCCATCATGCACAGGACAGAAAAGGGGAAACTGAAACCTCAAAAGACAATAAATTATTCAACTAAAGAAATGACAGAAAGGCTGAAAAAGTGTAGGACCATTCCAAAGTGGTTCTTTGATCTCCACACTTACCAGTAACCAATTTTTTATATTAACTACCTATGGATACCAAGTTGAATAATCATTAGTACACCCTCACAACCTGTTTGTTATACATATATTCCCAACATTCTCAAGCTAACCAGACCTAATAGTTTCCTTCAGTTCCATTTAAAACTCTCCACACCATTCATTCTTATATCACACATGATTAATATATCCACATTACTTTCTTTACTGTATAAATAGCCATCCAATTAAAATCTCTAATGTTTCCAATTCACACTTCTTATATTCCTCTTTCCCATTCACACCACCCCTTGAGTTTTCTGATGGTGACCACTATCTGAGGCTCCATTTCTATTTTTAAATCTCCACTGCAAACCCTAGTAGAAATACCATATCCTTTGAGGTTCTGTATCCTACTGATACTAAATAAGCTTAACTAATTAATCTGTATACAGGTAGAGTAATACAGTATTATCTCCGTTAGCCGGATTCCCTCTTAACCGGAACTATCTGATAGCCGGAATTGAAATTTTCTCAAAATCATCCCCAAAGCCAGAATTTTCCGGAAAATTCCTACTTTGGGAATGATTTTCCGAGAAAATTTTTCTAGTACCCGGAAAATTCCGGGATGGGGGATTTTTTTTCCAGGTTTGAGAGATGAAAATCAGGCACATTTTCTGGAAACTGAGAAAATCTTTCTGGTACCCAGAAAATTCCAGGGATGCGGGATACTTTCTGGGTTCGAGAGATGACGTAATTGCAATTTCTGGAATTTCCGATAAAATTTTTCCATTACCTGGAAAATTATAGTGAAGAGGAATTTTTTCCAGCTTTGAGAGTCATTTCATTACCCAGAAATCTCTCATTCCCAGAAGTGCAATGTACCAATTGTTCCAGCTAATGGAGATATCACTATCACCATTAGCCGGAACAATTGGTGCAGAGCGTTTGCAGGTTTGAGATATTTCTGAAGAATGACAAAAATTCTCTTTTACCCCCAAAAATCACACATCTACAGAATATTTCTGGACATTGGTGAATCTCTCCACAGCTAAACCACACATTTGGCACAGAGCATTATTGCCATGGAGGCTTAATCAACTGTAGTTGGACAGATAAAGAGTGGTATTTATTTAAGCAAACACTACTTTTACTTACTTTTATCCTCTTCACCACTGATCAGCTCGTTAGCCGCCTGGGCCATCGGTCACGTCTCTGTTAGGCACTGTTGGCAAGTACTGGTCATGCACCAGCTCCTTAATGTACCTGATACCACTCCAGTGTTGGTCAAGTCTGGTCTTAAAAGAGCTCACACTCGGTGCCGTCACAACACTTTCTGGTAGATCGTTCCAAGAGTTCACAACTCTCACTCCGAAAAAGTTTGCCCTCACAGTTTTCTGGACTTGTGGCTTCAATCTTGAGCTGTGACCCCTTGTGGGGCAAGCGTCTGCCAGCTCCAATTAAGGACACTCGACTGAGTAGTTCCCCTTAAGATGTTTATTCACCTCAATTAGGTCACCTCTTGCCCATCTGTAGTCCCGAGCATATCTCGGGGACTAGACGGGGTGACAGTAATCCAGATGGGGAAGCACTTCACTTTTGAAGATCGTTACGAGGGAAGGACCGTCTAGATATTCGAACGACCTTCTTATAAGACCCAATAATTTATTTGCCTGATTTACCTTCTTCTCGCAATGGCCCGAGAACTTCAGCTCATTGTCAACATACACACTATCTCCTTCTCACATTCAGTCTCAAATAGTGCAGCTTCTTCATCCCGTTGGGACATATGATACGCCTCCTTACCGTTGGTATGTCCCAGGTGCATCCTCTTACACTTCGTGACATTGAATCTCAGCAGCCATTTCTTCGACCATTCTTGGAGCTCACAGAGGTCCTTCTGCAGCTTTTCACAGTCTGCTTGGTTCTTGATCTCCCGAAATAACTTTGCGTCATCGGCCCAATACACTGCTCTGTGGTACCCCGTTTGTGACAGGTATGGATGATGATTTCGTGCCATATACTGTGCACGTATAGTATACTGCATTGTAAATTAGAAAAATACTACTGTATTCACAATACAGTACTGTATACTCACCAGCAGATGCTGTCATCTTGAACCTGTGATGCAGGCAGGCCTAATGGTGATATGATGATACAAGATGGCCTGCCCGTGTCCTGTACCATCTACTGTAGCAGGTGTTATTAACTGTCACTCTCCTCTCCCTCTATGGAGGAGGGATTGTACTAGCACAGTATACTGTACGTACACCCTCTACACACTAGCCTACACTGTCAACTCTATTACAGTACTGTACGTATGATACTTTCACACTAACTGAATGTACAGTACAGAATAAGTAACTGAAATCACTTTTTATGTCTTAACACTGCTTTAACATTATTCTTGTCTGATTATATGCTGGTACAGTACGGCATAGCACAGATCTGTGAAAGCAGCAGTTAGCGCGAGAACAAACTTGTACAATGGCTGCAGAAAATAAACTAAGCGTGTCATGATGCAAGAGTTTGAGAAGATAGTCTGCAAGATACATCAGCCAATCATAGGCATCCCATGCAATCACATGATAAAAGTAGTCAATCGTAGCATATGAGCACTACGAGTCTACCTACCGACACAAGATGCAATCACTCGGAAATTTATTCGAATGCCTGGAAGGGAGAGATTTTCCCAGAATTTCTCGCAATGATAAAATTTTAATTTCCAGGTAGTGGAAAGTTCCGAGGATGGAAGATTCCAGCTAAAGGGGATATTACTGTGGGGTTAAAAAATAAGAACTTACTGGTGCTGAGGTATAAGAACAGCTCCTCCAGGAGAAAAGTAATTTCTCCCAATCTTCGCCAATTTCAGGATTTTCATTATTCGATTAAAAAGCACATTATAAAGATGCACACTCGTATCCAGTTCTGTTTGTTTCTTGTAAACTATTTCAATTTTTACATTTTCTTTATTAAGGGGATTTGCAGTAGTATAAGTAACATTCTGAAAAACAAAAAGTCATGTCATAAAGAGAGCATTTTTATGTGCCACAAATGATAACTTATAAATAGTAGACAGTGGACTAGATACCTTAATGGGGTCACCTCTGTACTGAATAAAATCATCTGAAACTAACACATGAAAACTTCCTCCACCACTCACTGTCTTGTCAGCTTTCTCGATTACATATACCGCCATCTCGAGAAACGAAAAACGTCTGTAGCTGTCGCCTTCATTGATTTCACTAAAGCCTTCGACCTAGTCGACCACAATATAATCATAAACAAAGCTATTGACCTCGGGCTTCGGAGAAGTCTCATACCATGGCTTACAGACTTCCTCAGTGACCGACGCCAAGCTGTACGCTTCCGAGGGGCTGTCTCCACCTTTCAGTCACTCACCTGTGGCGTCCCCCAAGGCACCAAGATGGGACCACTCTGCTTCCTTATGCTCATCAATGATGCCCTAAGAGAAGCCCCTGCTCGCTGGAAATATGTCGACGACTCCACCCTTGGGATCAGCGTCAACAATTCTGCTCCCAACTATACCGCCCTTCAGGATTTATTGAACAGTCTCCAAAACTGGGCCACCAACAACCATGTCACCATCAACCATACCCAGACCATGGTTATGCACATCAACCTCTCCTCCGACATTGTCCCACCTCCTTCCATTACCCTAGGTCCGAACACACTCCAGGTTGTAGATTCCACGAAGCTCCTCGGCGTCACCATAGAC